CCTGAAGTCACACATCCAGCAGGATCTGTGGCATTTGAATGCTCCCTGTTAGTGCTGCAAGGCTCTCTAGCCTTCCTTTTGTAACCTTTTCCCTCTAGCTCCTTCTCCTCTCCTGCCTTCAAACATCTAGGAATTTGTGGTTTTAAGGCCTGAAAAGATAAGGCATCTTGTTTTTGTCTCTTGAGTGAAGGAGCTGGCCCCTCTGAAATACTGTTATATTCTGACTATGCACTCTCATGTGAACTCTCCTATATTATGCAGAAATTGCACTGTTTTTTTTCTCATCTATCATTTCTCTTTGATGTAGAAAAATGATTACTTGATATAGAACAAGCAATTGCTCTGGTGGGAAAGATCATAGAGTTTAATACAGAGGAAACTAATAGTAATCTCATCAATAGATTTCAGAGAAAACTAGGCAATCCACTAAAAGTCCAATTAGCTTAAATAACTGAATAGACATGGAATTCCTTGCTACAGAATTGTTTCTTTTTTAATATTTTGGGTAGCTATTCTTTGAAATTCTACAAGTTGACATTTGAATCAGTTGACATTTGAATCAGCAAAAGGGGTTACTATTGTTATACTTTTCTAGGAAGGTGGAGAAGACCAATTTCACTACTAAGTCAAGCTGCCTGTGCCTGATTGCTGCAGAGATATACAGAACTGTGAGCTAACTGTTAGCTAATACCTCCCTTTCTTATTCTGTGATTGTCTGCACCATGAATGGGTAAACATATAGTAAACACTATCGCAGCCTTCATTTGTAAACCAAATATGAACACTGTAATTCATGGGATCATGAAGGTGGTAGGATTAAGGGACTTCTCTGTAGTACTGTCTTCATAGCTATGCTAAAGCAAATGTGGAAATAATGGTTCTGGTAGAAGTACATGCTTTGCAGTGCTTACACTATTCTTTACTATACATGCCTTTTTAACTTTTCTCACTTTCCATCAATTGCAAAGGTGCGAGTGCTTCTGTATGTCTGAAGTTAAACATAGCTTTGTTAGACACTGGTATAATTTTAACCATTAATTACACAGATACAAAATCTTATGGAGACATTATACTGTTTGTTCTCAACAGGCGGAGAGCTGTTAGCAAGAGCAAAGAATCCATATTATCTGATCATGAGCGTGAGTCTGTCAAATACCAGCCAGCAGTACAGGTAGAAGAGGACACCATGGACTTTACACTGGAAGACTCTGTTCTCCTTCCTATGGATCCAAACCTGGAATGCCACAGCCCACCTCCAGATTACAACTCCGTCATTCACTACTCAGCCCCTCCGGTGTAATCAGCCTAACCTGACACAGGGCACCTTGCACCTCTCAACGATGCTAGATTCTTACATGCTTCCATGTCTGGATAAAGAGGCTGGGTAAAATCAGAAGGGAAATCTGACAGGACAATGGTTCATATGTTTCTTCTGGCACATCTATGATGTGAATAGAAACATTTTAAGAGCATCTTCTTTGCTATCTTGAAAGGCCTATTGCAACATATGCAGTAAATTAAAACTCTGTCTATCAGAATTGTAGGTAGGAGCTATAACCCAGAACTGCTTCCATGCTTTCCTCCCCTAGCTGGGTCTATTCATTGGCATTTCCAAATATACAGATTATTTTACTCACATTTTACTTCATAAATGTCACCAAGAGTCATGTCAAGCTAGTTGTGAAAATGAGATTCATTCTACTGGTCCTGCACACATGCTATAAGGGATCAGTTGAAAACAAAAACCATACACACTAACGTTTTGTTATTAGAGAAAATCGAAAACTGAAACATCATTCTTAACTTGGGATCTCATCTTCCATAAATATTTCTGAAATATTTTGAAATCCAAAATACTTTCATTACAATTTGTGATTTAATAAATTCCACTGCCTATATGATACACTCCTAAAAATGCTAAGGCATAGAGAAAGCAGATAGTACTCATGTATCAAGAGCCAGGCTGGTCTTTTGGGACATCAGGGCATACAATGTGGTTAAATCTGTTTCCCTGTGTTTTTTCCTTGCCATTTATTTTGAAAACATGCAACGGGGAACCTTGATGGAGATGCATCTGTAATGATTGCAAGGCAAAATCACTGCCTCAAATAAGAACCTTCTTAAGCTTAAATAGACAGAATTTCCCAGCCCACATGCACATGATTGTGTGAATCTGCATAAAATATACATTAAGAACATGAGAGTTACACATAAATGCACATACACCCTTGAGGCACCAGCAGGGTAGCAGCATTTTTATGTTTCCTTTCTGCACACAGGCTATTGACTACAAAGAAAAAAAAAAAAAAAAAAAAAAAATTTCCTTTGGATTCTGTGGCAGATGCCCAACAGTTTGATCCTGGGTATACTAGCCATGCTAAACTGTAAGCATATGTGGCACATATTTGTCTCTGACAGACTTGCCAAGGTAAATATTGGTATGATATGCAATGCCCTCTGCATCTAAACTGTTCATGAGTTCACGGTAATTCAAAGCTTGTTTTGCAGCCTAATCATGCAGGACTGAATGGATCACAAATTCTCACATTAAGAATTTCCATGTGTATTGCCCTCCACCTAAAAGTTGTGTGTGGCAGGAACTGTTGGTCTGCAAATATGTATACCCAGGTCCCATGCATATTCACAACTTCAAAAATAAGCAAATAATGCTTGTCATTTAATGTGCTATTGAACAATCAGAGTTGACTTCAGAAATATAGGAAGGGAAAAAGTATCTAGGTTGCAAGCAGAAAAAACAAGGATGAAAAAGATACTCATTGACAGTCAAAACGATAACCTCCTAAGTTATAAACCTAGATCTGTACATGAGTCTCTGTGCGGTTCCTTCCAAGGTCTGCACAACCCTTTCCTTTTCTTCTTAGACTTGACACCGATTTGAATTCTTCAAAGAAAAAGAATTTTTCTTCATGATTACAAACCAAAAGGAAAAAAAAATCCAATATCTGCAAAACAATTATATTACTGATCAAATACAATTATTACTGATCAGTTACAGTTGGTTACATTGATGTAAACACAAACAAGCCTCAGGTATTATCAAAGGGGGAAACAAATCTTCAAACCCCACACCATGTTAACTGTGAATGCTAAAGCATCTGAAGTACGGGCTCTTGGGAAATGCACTTCTCATTCTCCTTGACTTCAGATTCAATGTATTAAGGAAATCATCTGCAGTAACTCACGAGCCCTTTGTTCGTAGTGGACCTGCTAGATAGCTGTGGTCTGTAGTTGCTTTATGGTCATTTTTTGCACTTCTTTGTATTTTAGAACCTATGTATGAAGTAGAGCTGGTTATATAACAGAAGAAACTACTTGGAAATAATTCATTTGATGAGCCCCAGAAAGATCATTGGAATCAGTTTTTCAAACAGTAAATTATCTATAGCTCTGATCAAAAACTCAATCACTTCTTTTGCAAATAGTTTATTTACACTGCAAAGAGAAAAAAGGTGCAGACAGTTTGTCTGGCTCTACTGTTAACGGCAGCAGTGTAAGATGGTTTGTTATTGTGCCTTGTTCTGTAGGGTAAGAAAACAATGATGTTTAAAAACCTTTGCTTATAAACTTTAAAGTATATATAGGGAAAAAAAAAACCCTGCAAGTATGCTCTCTATTTTGAAAAAGAATGGGAAACACTGCTGGGTGAACTGTCTGCTTCTAAGAGAGCCAAGTAGATCATCTTTCCACTTTATCAAAGCTGAACTGTAGAGGTTTCTCCGAGACCAGAGGAATATAAAGCATGTTTCCTGAGTGGGACCCAAGCGGACACTCGAATGGAGGGCTGGTAGCCAGGTGCCCCTCTGGCTCCCAGTAACATCTGTCAGCCTTTCTGCATTGCACGAGATGATGTGAAAACAGAGTGCAGGCTCAAGACACATGTTAAAACACTGGTTGCATTGACAGCCCCCTGAAAACTGAGGGCTCATCTGCAGTGGGAAAATCAACAGCTGTCTTGAGGGGTATCAATGGCCATTTCTTCAAAGAGCAAAGATAGCCTCCAAACACATGATAATGGCCTTCAAGTGTTCTGGAAATGGCAAGTGACTGATGTTTGGGCAGCTCTGTTTCCAATGTTTATTCCGAGTGGATGATCTTCTTCTCCTTATAGTAAATGTAATAAGCAAAAGTATTGCCTGAAAAGTATTATTGAACATGTCTTCTATTTTATTTACTAATATTTTGTTTGTTCTTTTCTCTCCTCCCTTAATTTAATTATTGTTCTTTTCATACAATGATGTATATAGTTTACCAGTAGAAACAAATATAGTGATTCATATATATGGTAAAATTTGTAACATTTTAGTCAAAAGAGAGAGATACCCAGACATAACAGAGTTAAGTATTGTTACTAAACATTTCACTAATGCTTGCAGGCCAGGCTCCAGTTTACAGACCCTACTAGTGCCATTTCATAGCAGTTCTCCTCTTGGCTGCGAGTATCTCTGGCTCTCACTTATTCTCCACGTTATTTAGTTTCAGTTAGGAAACAGGAATGTGGAGGAATCTGGCAGGTTTATCTCATTCCTGGAAGTGTCACCATGCAGCTCACAGTAAAGGTGAAGAATTTCCACTGCCTCTGTTTTAATTGAAGGCTGGCGTATTGGCTAGAGGATCAGAAGGGGCCAAATTATTTAAATGATGTGATGTTTATTATTTTTTTAAACTTCTCAGGGATTCTTACTCGACTCCTGTCAGCCACCTGCTTTATCTGGCTGAGCTCAGTGGTATCTGGTATTAACATATACCTTTGTTTTCTTTAATGGTGCTTACTCCTACTGGGTTTGTCCTCTTGTAAGCCCAGAGAATTATGGCAAAGGAACTCAGAGCTCACCACAGAAATGTGTTGTCTTCTCTCCAACAATCACCTGCCACACAGGTGTCCAAGGATAAGTGCCTTCACCTACATGTTATTGTTCAGGCTGGTGTTTTTAACAGTTTGGTTTCTTAACTTCTCTTTTCTCTACTTTTCATCTATTTCTTGATATTTGTTCTTCACAGTCCCTCTGGATTGCTCTTCTCTGTCTTTTGAATGAGATCAGGTATAAACATCATTTCATTGCTATTTCCTGTATATTCTGCACTTGCAGAACTAGATAATCTAAAGCAAGCTTTTCTCACATTAAAAATTTTTTTTATATAGACATGGGAAACTAGTTTATATTGGTTTGTCTGGAAGACTCTCTGTATCCTTCTTTGAATGAGAGAAGCTTTTTAATCTATTGATTTTTCAATATTAGTATTTGGAACAAAACAAAGGTTGGTGACTATATGAATCTTACCCTTCTCCTAGTCCTTTCTCAAACAATGAGGTTTCTCTTAGGTTCTTCCAAGTTATACTCACAAGAAGGGGGTCCTAACCAGGATGCTGAGCCCACACCATCTACTCAGGATATCAAGGAAGGTCAGAGAAAAACCTAAAGCCTGAGTATTAGTCTCAAACAAAACCACTGAAATTTGAACCCACTGAATGCTATACATTGAGATCTACACATATAGGGCTGCCTGCAGGCATACACTGCTCTGCTTAAGACATCCCACTAATACATACACTACTCTTCAGTTACACTGCTTGGCAAATTCATAGGATGACCTAGAGCGTCCAGGCACTTCTCTCATTGTATTTACACTTTGTATACTGTAGAAATGTTAATCACCATGTCAGCTTGTAACTGGCCAGTCAACAATTTAAGACATCTTCTCAATGATCCTTCATGCAGAGCGTTGGCACTGCCTTGTCATGTCCTATCTTGCTTTACAAATTTGATCTGGCCCTATTCCAGCTGTGAGGGTGTGTGTGGTCCTGGGTCAGTGGTCTCTAGCTCCCACCAGCACCAACTGGACAACATCAGGAAATGTTTGCAGGGAAAAATCACTAGCAAATAGCTACATAACATGATGAAGCATTGTTGGGTTTTCCTGAACACAGGAGTTAGGCAGAATCAGTATCATGCTCAGAGATCAGACTATTTTTTTTCTTACCATAAAGTGAACAGAAAATACAGAAGGTAGCAGTAATTCTTTTGTCCCTCCCTGCAAATAGTAATGGCCGAGCCCTGGGATCCATTTTCCTGGTTTATACTATGTCACAAAAAAAACAGAAAGAATTTTGCCAAAGTAATGACAACCAGCACCATCTTACACAAGTAAAATTCAGGGAGGAATTTTGGATTTGACCCTATCAAGAGTCAATCACTGTACAGGATGTAAGCGTTGAGTCCAAGCTCTGGCTTGTTTATTTGACATGTGTTGTTTTCATATTGTGTTAACATAGAAAAGAAAACTTGCTGGACTGGGTCATTTGGGACCTCTGGCAAATATGCCATAAGGGCTGTGGTTACAGTAAGACTAGTGTGGTATGCACTGAGCAGCGTCCCGTTGTCCTGCCTAATAGTCCTGTGCCACAAGAGCCAGCACATCCTTATTACTCAATTCATTTTTCCTTAGACCTTGAGTTGTAAAAGCAGCTAATGAAAACTGGGAAAACCCAGTAACTTAGGAATTAAAGAAAATAAACTAAGCACCATGTAATACTCAAAACACTAAGGAATGTTTGTCTGCCATGTTCCTGTCTGTCTGAAGAATGTATGCACTGAAAACAACGCCTTCTTATGTAGTCAAAAATTGTACTGTATCTATTAACCAAAAAAATAAAAAGATTCTATATTTATACAGCCCAGGGCTCCTTTGTGTCATCTCTTGGCTTGAAAAGTATTGTCCTTGAAGCAGAATATAAATAAATAATGCAACAGTTCTGAGAAATTTTTACAAGGCATAGATCTCATATTCATTTCTACAGGGTGTTCAAAACTTAGGACATAAGCCTGTCACACTCTCATTGCTTAGAGGTATCTAACCACTACATTTGCTTAAAAGATTCACAGATCTTGGAAAATGCTGGCCCAGTTTGCGGAAGAAATACACAAATCTAGCTGCCACCAAGAACGGTCCATGAAACAGAGAGACTGCTGTCTTGTTAAATTTAAAATAAATAAATGAGACTGAGATAGAAGATAGAATCAGAATTCTACATTCTACCTAAGACCCATGTTCACCAAAGCATGTAAGTACATAAGTCTGTGAAGATGATGTTCAAACATGGTAGCATGTGGGGTTTGTTCAGATTCAAAAATCCATAAATTGTGTTTCATTACTATAATAATCTAAAAATAACACAATCAAATATATATTTCCCAATACACAGCCACAATGATGTTATTGAATTCTCACTTGAATAAACTCCACACTGTTGAAATTTAGAATATTCCATGTTCTTATTTTGTAGTTAAGGTCTAACATCTAGAAGACAGAGGAAAAAAATCTCCCAACAATAGTCAAGTGCAGCAGGGATACCATTTTCCTTACCAGCTGGCTAATCTTTCTGAAATACTATTTCCCATTCCTCTTTCCATTTTGGTGGCACAGAAGGTAACTACTGGCAGAAAAAATATGAGATATCTGAAGATTTTTACAGACTGACAAATATTAGTTTCTACTTATGTCTTAAAATAAATACTGTTATTGGAAAAGAAGTGTGTTAGAGTTTAAGACATTCTTCCATTAGCACAATCTTAAAAGTTACTGGTCTGTGTATTTCACTAGTCACATTAAAAACTATGAAGCACTCAAGTCACTTCAAACATTTTAGTTTCTCTTCATTCCCTGTTCCAAACAGTCCTAGAAATAAATGTCTAAATTATACATGTCATTTGAAATGTAGCAATCTCCTTTCATCCACATAATGAGCAAGAACATTCTTCTCTGCAAACTATGAAATGTTTTAGTTACTTATATAACACATGAGTCACTGCGTGCTAGGCAATATAGAGTCTCCTTTATGCGGAAACTAATGCATTAAATGGTGGAAGGAAAATATACAAAATTAACTCTGAATTGCTTTTAGCACAAAATGTGAATTATTAATCACATACAGCTTGAGCTGTACTTGTAGAAGGTACTGTTATGGTATACCTTGGGAAAGAATCTTGGAAAAAAAGTATAACACTAGGAATCAAGAAATGTAAGCTTTTCTCTTATGTCTTGGCCAGGGTATATAACTTTTCTGTACCTTAGTTTTGGCATATATGATGTAAAAGATTTTTGGTTTTACAGCAGCAGCATATAGAGATGCAAGACTAAAAAACCTCAGTCTAAAGTATTGTAACTTGGTGGTTTGAGGTGATAAAAAACCAAGAAAAAAATAGGGGCTAGCAAGAGAAAGATTTAGGAGTGAGATAAACAGATCTTGTGGTGGTCACATTAGAAAACTGAGAAGAGAATCCCACTGATTTCCAGTCAGGTCCTTTTTCTTTCCTCTCATAATGAGACTTAACTTATAAGGGTTTGAAAAGTGCTTTATAAGAGCAGAAAATACTGTTAAATTTATATGCTTTCTACACAGTGAGGCCCTTAAGCAGTAAATAATTTTGTCTCAAAACCAATGAAGTAGCCCACGACTTTCACAGGATCTCAGCATTTTATTGCTGGCTATTGCCTGTTTGAAGGGACATACTGAATGTCCCCTACTGACTGTACTGCAAGTTCATTACTTGCTCTGCATAAACAGTAGATGAAGCCCTACCAGGGCCATAAATACAACCATTATTTTCAAGAGTACTGAAATCCGTTATGATGAGTCGCAACTGTTATTATAGCCTGATGAGTTAGTATTCATTAAAATTGAGAGAGGAGAAACTAGTCTCTTTAAACTACTTCATTCTACAGGGACTTAGGAAATCATAGTTCTGGTGGTTCACTTCATCTTTCTTCATCCACACTGATGCACCAAGTGAGACCTGTTTCTTCTTTTCCTCACTGCAGAGTCAGTGAATACTTACTCCATATCTGCACAAACCACAAGGGAAGAGTAACATGGCTTCTGAATATTCCTATTCCATAGTTCTTTAAGTGACCTTTAAGATAGGGCTGTTGCTCCCAGGAAGTAATAGGGCTGAGGGGCATTTCAAAATATAAGCTATCATAATATCAAATGCCAGACGTTGAGGTAAGGCAATTAATGAGGAGAGCCTCCCATATTCTTCCTATTCATTTGTCACCGCTGGTACTTACTCTGAATATATGATCTACGCAGAATCCCTTAGGTCTGAATCTAGCCCGTTCTTCACTGAGAAGAAATGATACCCAGTAAAGAAGAAATATTTCATCTGTGTTTAAGCTGTGAACCTTCTAGGTCCAGAGATTTTTCTTCAGAGTTTGGGCTGACCACAGAGGAGATAGAGGTGGTTAGTCTGTCAGCCCTTCACTGGCCAATGAGCATGTACATAAGTAGCTTTAGTCGAAATGAGAACTTACAACACATTGTGAAAATCAAGTAATGCATGTAATCCAGTGTAGGCAAATGCAATTGCTTGTCTTGCTTTAATGGCAGGTGATTAAAGCATGATTCTACCTGTCCTAGAAAGGGTAGGAATATATGTCTACTGGGTGCCCTTGTCTAAATCTATGGTAATGATACTAAAGGAGTAAATTTATCACTTGCATACTTTCTAGGGCAAACCACTGCAGGTACAGAAGTGGTTTACTCAGTTCAGTGATTTCACTCAGAGTAGGTTTTGACCCAAACAAACAAAGAAAAAAAACCCCACTATTTCAAATATTAAGAATGACATTAGGAACCTTATGAAATTCAACACAGACAAAACCTGCACTTGGGAAGGACTAAACCCTTGAAGTAATACATGCTGGGAACTGACTGGCTGGAGAACAGCTCTGCTGAAAGTCCCCTGTGGGTCTTCGTAGACATAAACTGAATACAAGCCAGGTGTGTGCACTGGCAGCACGGAAGGCCAGCAGCATCCTGGGCTGCATTAATGGGAGCATGGCCAGGGAAAGTGTTTATCTCTCTGCTTAGCACTCATTAGACTACATCTAGAATACTGCACCCCCCACCAGCACAAGCAAGACACTAATAACTGGACTGAGTTCAGCAGAGGGTCACCAAAATGGTCAGGACTCAGAGCACTTGCTCTGTGAGTAGACGCTGAGGAAACTGAGCTTATCCAACCTGGAGAAAGGACAGCTTCAGGGGGACCTAGAAGCAGCCCCACATGCCTATGACGAAGCTGTCAAGAAGAGGAGCCAGGCTCTTCACAGTGGTACATGGAAGGAGAAAGAGAAATGAGAGACAAATTGAAACAAGAGAGCTGCAGATATGGACATACAGAGGAATTTTTTCTTCCATGACAACAATCTAGAAGTGAAGCAGGTTGCCCAGAGAGGCCCAGACTGCTCTGTGGAGGACAGTTGACTACAGACCTCCTGAGGTCCTTTCCAACCTGAATTATCCTACAATCAAGTCTGACTCATCATTCTGTTGTAATGCTTGTCTATACAGTCAAATTACTTCATAAAACCTCCACACCACACACATCTATCCTTTCAAAGTATTGATTAGTTAGTGATTAGGTTAGTGATTCACCTTGAACCTCAGCAGAGCTCTGGAACCATAGGTAACATGGCATCTGCCAATAGCTAATGACCCTTTTTTCTGCATCAAAACAAAAGATGTGGCAATACTGATCTCACATACAGAAGTGAAACTAATGGCATTCTTCTTGTGTAAATGTAAGCATAAGTTGGCTACTCTAAGAAAACTTACAGGCAATTTTATCTTACAACTTCATATATACACTTTCGCATTTTATTTTTTCTTAGTGCTACTCCACTTGTCAGATAACAAATAGTACTCAGTGTTCTCTCATACCATAATTTATCCATTTATCACACCTAAATAGTGACACTAGTCATTAGCTAATCATGTCCAGTGTATTAATTGTGAACTGTCCATTTCCTTCTTTCAGGGTCACATTCTTATCATAATCCTCTGAAAGGGAAGTCTCCAAAATCAAATCAAATTTCTAAAATCATTATAGAAAGTTTTTAAAAACCTAAGAAGACTTATCTTCTCCTTCACAAATGAAGCAGGAATTTTATTTCCTCCAGATTGTGTGGGGCAAAGAGGACCATGCATCTGCCAATAATATACTGTTCCTTAACTGAGTCACTTATGATGTTTCTCCTTTTTCCACAATTTTTTCTTTCCACAGTTCTTACTGTGAAAACTTTGTAATTTATAGCTTTTCTCTTCTATCTTTTTTTCTTCCACTGTAACACTGCTAAGGAAGAATTCAAACCTGGCAGCAGGTAAGATCAAAGAGACCAACAGCATAATGAAATCCTTGTTCTCTTCCTAAACTAAAAAAAAATAGCCTAGCAACTCCCATATGTAGCCTTCTGCCCTTCCAGGCTGTAGTGGATGAGCAATATTAGCATGACATTTTTAAAGCCAGGACTACACGTTTGGTGATCCTCAAGGCCAGCAGAATAAACCTGGGCACCTCTGGACACTCTGCTTGGAGTAGCAGTTGTTTATTTTTAAGCTGGACCATTGTCACAGTGAATTCCTCAAAAACTCAAAGGTTAATTTGCTTTTCATAACTATGTATTAAAAAAAAAACCAACACCACAATAAATTTACTATTTCCTGGGAGAGTTTTGACCTTTTATTCCTGTATATTTTTCAAATCCTGTCTTCCACTGTTTATGCCCCAAGCTAGAATGTCACAAGCCATCTTAGCACAGAGCAGAACCACAAAGACAAGCAGGGGTAAGTCAAGGCAAACAGGTGGAAG